ATGCTTTAAGCCATTCAAAAAGATTCATATTAACCAATCCACAGAAATCCCCTGAAGTGGAGCCAGACACACTTATGTAGCCTTAGAGTTCCACCTTCTGTAACTCTGTCCCCGGTACAACCACTCATGTGGTCCTATCTGGAAGCAAGTTCTTATTTGGAGCAATGAAGTAACAAAGGATTGTGTGTCTCAATCTATGAAGCGATAGTGTGGCGTATTTCACCATCTTTAAATCTTGCCAAAAAAAGCCTGGTATGGTGCCACACGCCTCCAATCTCAGCACTTGAGAGGCAGAGACAGGTGGATTTCTGTGAGTTCAGGGCCAACCTGGTCTACATACAGAGTTAAAGGACAGCCAGGGCTACACAAAGAGACCCTGTCTCAAAAAAAAAAAAATCTTATAAAGCAGCTGTATGACAAAGACCAGAGGCTCTTGGAGGCCGTGTGTTGAAGTCAATGGAGTCGCCTTCTGCATAGGCCCCTGAATGATTGTCCACCCTGGCTGTCCTATCCAGTGTCCCCATTCCTGCTTTACTATCATGACCCTTGTACTGTTAAATGAGACAGAAAGAAATTTCAATTATGTGGGGATCGTTTGTACATTGGCTTATCTGTTAGGGAAGTTTAAGCTAGCCAGACTAGGACAGGGAACAACCAACCGTTTGTGAGGGACATAGTGTGGGCTCAGGACACGCTGAGAGGGGCGCTGCGTGTTGATCATCAACAAAAGCAAACTGGTTTGGTAGGCAGACATCTTCTTCCAAGCTAAAGCCTTCAAGGAAGGACTCCTTGGACTGATCTCTGCTCCTCTGCTAGCCCACCCTGACACGTGGTAGTCTCCAGGTCAACTCCATGTCCTTAAGTTCTAGGTCGAGTCTACCTTTTATCTATGTGTATTTTCCTTCTCTCCAGTCCCGTTGTGTGTGCATGTGTGTGTGTATGCCTACCTGTGCCTGCCTGTGTACTCACATGTGTGCACTAGGAACTTCTCCCACTGAGCCCAAACCCCAACTCTTCCAAGCCAGTCTGAGAGTAAGCAAGCTTCAGAAGGCAGAAGCAAGAACTGGTACCACCTTCAGCGAGTGGGTTAAGCATCTTAGGTGAACACATCAGTGCCTTCAGGAAGGGACAGTGACTAGTGAAAAGTGGAGTCAGATGCCTCTCCTCTGCAGTGTGGGCAGTAACCAGGATTGTCTTCTCTCGGTGTGGGAGACACATGAACATGAGAATGGTTTTGCAGGAAGCGGTCTGTCTGTCCTCACAGAGCCCTTGCACATACCCAGGCAGAAATGTGGGGTAGAGAGCACTGAAGCTGATCAGAGAGGTAGATGGAGTCGCGAAAATAGCCAAGAACCTTTGCTGTGGTTTCCATTGGAAAGACTTGGAAGCAGGGTAAACGGATGTAAGATCGACCAGGGTGGATAATTTCAGCTCCAGGGACAGGGGCTGTCCCTCACTGTCTAGTACTTGTCTCTGGGCAGAATACTCTCGCTGAGTGTGAGGACTCCCAGAGGGGATGGATAGGCAGACTCTGGCTTACTGTCTCTACAGACTGGCTAATTCCTGGAAGGGTGATTCCTCCGGGAGAGCAAGGCCCCAGACACCAGTGAATCAGATTATAGGAAACATAAAGGCCATGGCTAACCCATAAGCAGCTTGCATTCTGAGAGGTAGAATGTGGACATTTGCTTTCCCTGCATCTCCATCAAACATTCAGTTCACACATGCATCTGAGGCCCACGGGGCGGCGGGGGGGGGGCACCAACTACTTCTTTAACTGGCGTTTTCCGATTTATTAGTGATCTTAAGCAACTTCCCATATGTCTGTGAGCCAAGGGGGGAATGGCTCTCTACAGTGTGTCCGCCCCTTCCTAGTTCTGTCTCTGTCTTAAGACCAGAGCGAAACTTGCCTGCATGGCTTTCCATGCTCCTCTTGGCATGGTCTCGGGTGTGTCTCGGACACTGTACCACTTGGCATTTCTTCACTTGCATTATGAACTCTGTTTGGTCTCTATCCCTAACCTTTCCCTCCTGATTGCTGCCTAGGCTGTTCCATCTGCCCAGGGAACTTGTTGAATCATCTGACCCCTTTGATTCTCCTCAAATCCACACAGACACACAGATGTTTGTACTCACAGAACATATTTGAAGTCACTCCCAGGATCCCTTTCCAGGGCCCCCTCTCAATTGTACTTACCAATCTTAGCTTTTGCTACTGTAACTGCTAACTTATTTTTTAACTTCCCCATAGACTATAAATGTGCTAAACATTTTATGTTTTTGTAGTCTCTGATTACTGTCTTTCATTTTTTAAAATTTATTTATTTATCTATTTATTTATTTACTTTTATTTATTTATTTATTTATTTATTGCCTGCATGTATGTGTGCACACCACATTCATGCCTGATGCCCCTGGAGATCAGAAGGGGGCAGGAGGATTGGATCCACCTGGGACTGGAGTTACATGTGGTTGTGAGCCACCATGTCGGTGCTGGGAATCGAACCCGTGTCATCCCACATCAGCTGAAGAACAGCAAGCGGTCTTAACCACTGACCATCTCTCCAGCCCTTGACTGGGTTTCTTAATGAAGGAGAATTTGACTCAGCTGTGCAGGTCCAGAAAGGAGAGGCAGAACCATGAGCACATTTTCAGGAAGGGTAGATCTATCATAACTCTTGTCAACTTGGCACAAACCAAGACATACCTCAGGAGAGGGAATCTCAACTAAGCTGTGCCTATGCCCATGGGGACTTTCTCTAAAATGCCGGTTAATGCAGGAGGGCCCAGCCCACGTGTGTGTGTGTGTGTGTGTGTGTGTGTGTGTGTGTGTGTGTG